TGCATGTCGGCATTATGTCTGCTGTAACTCGGAAAAGGTCGCTCTTTAAATAGATACGACTATCTCAATTGATAAGACTTCAAATTGATGCATTTCAAGTATATATTTAACTAAACATGCTTTAGCACTGACAAGAGCAAACCTCTGCTATCAGCCATTTATCAAAGATGGTAAACCCTTGAATATACACATACATATACATATGTCTAGATATGTAGCTTATCAACAAACAAACAACAGTTCGATTTTGAAAAGTTAAGTGAACGCATGTTAGCCAGTGCAATAAACAGAAACATAATATTATTTATACTTATCAATTTCGTAATCATTTGATAAGATTTTTCATTTCTTTTTTCTTGATGTCAAGGAAAAGCTTGATTAAGCAATAACAAGAAAAACAAGCAAATTAAAATAAATGAAATAATAGGCACTTGTTTACTTTATGTATTTCTTTGCTTTGCTTACGGTTCTGTTTGATATTTATATGCATTAGTAATTACAGCAGAAGCTGCTCTTAGGGCCAATCTCGTATAAATACATACATATATAGATTTACCCAAAGAGAGTGAGACTGTCTTGGTTAGTTTATGTATTAATTGTTTTAAGTAATCATAAATAAATATTGACATAGTCAAGATAACCTGTCAATTGATTAGAAATTATCTGACAAATGTTGGGTATATGTAAATAAATTTTATAGAGCTATCAAAAACTAAGGTATATAAATTCGAAAAATAAAAAAATAGTTTCAAAATAAAACTAAATATAATATAATATCTTATGCAGTTCTTGCGAAAGAGAAATTTCTTGTTCTATTGTTCTTATGTGGTCAAAGACATAAGAGAAAACTTACATATTATCAATTATTTGCACTGGAAATAAATTAGTCTTATACAAATACAATTCTTCCATATTAAATATTCACTTAAAAATAAATAAAAAAGATGCAAAAATGTTTCATCTTATTAAAATAATATTTATATATTTTTTTAAATTATTGTTTCAGGTATTGACATGTTGACGCCAGTTAAAAAAGTGCCCATACACCTGCAAAGCGCCCAGAATCGTGTCTATATCAAAAATGGCCAAATTGTGAACCACGACAAGACATTCAAAGCTGATGTTTATATAGAGGATGGCATTATCAAGTAAATATGCTAAGTACATATGATATCCCTATGTGCATAAGCTAACATTCAAATCTTGTCAGATTCGTAGGACCCGCTGCGGATATAACGGTGCCAGGTGGCGTGCGCACAATCGATGCCAGCGGCAAGCTAATTATACCAGGTGGCATAGATCCGCATACGCACATGCAGCTGCCTTTTGGCAATGCGGTGGCAGTGGATGAGTAAGTGATTGGAGTGCTATAAATAGTGATCAAACGGTATATCACGATTATTCATTTTAGCTTTTATCACGGCACCAAAGCAGCTGTGGCTGGCGGCACAACCATGATAAGTAGGTATTCATTATACACATCTATCTGAGTATTTGTGATTTTAACAAATCCCATTCCCTAGTTGATTTCGTGTTGCCAAACAAAAACGAGTCCATGATCGAGGCCTATGACAAATGGCGCAGCTGGGCAGATCCCAAGGTCTGCTGTGATTACGCACTCCATGTGGGCATTACTTGGTGGTCGAAATCGGTGTCTGACGAGATTGGCATCCTCTGCAAGGAGCTGGGCATCAATTCATTCAAGACCTTTATGGCCTATAAGGGCCTCTATCAGCTGAATGACTCGGAACTATTGGATGTGTTTGAGCGCATACGAGGCTTGAATGCTGTTGCTATGGTGGGTTTACATTAAAGTCTTTATATTTCAGATTGTTTTCTTTTTTTTTCTAAATTTTATACGTTTGCTGTTTCAGGTTCATGCTGAAAATGGCGATATTATTGCCAAGAATGCCAAGCGACTGCTAGCCGAGGGCATTACTGGACCCGAGGGTCACGAGTTGTCGCGACAGGAGGAGGTGGAGGCTGAGGCCGTGCATCGCGCTTGCATTTTGGCTCATCAGGTGGGTTAAGCTTTAATTAGATATATGCATGCATATATACTACAAATGTAACTAACATATATAATATATATATAATAACAATTAGCTAACTGTCATTAATAACAACTTAGGCTATAATTTATACCAGTTACTTATCTATCTTTCTGTCAGTTTACTGACTCTCGTGAAAGCTTGGATTCTTATTGGAATCACCTTAAGCAAACAAGCAATAACCATAAGCTTAAATAATGTTAAATTAACATCGTGTTTTGTGATGAGTAATGTTAATTAACATACATTTGAGCATGCTGTTAGAAGTGAGTTATGTTATCCTTTCAAGATTAGCGTCAATTAAATATTTACATACATGACTCTTAAATTTTAATATATGTATTTATTTTATTTATTTTGTAATATAATTTCAAAAATATTCATAGCAGATACCGTTTTGATTATTTTATATTTTTATCTATACTATTTTATATTTCAATTATATTTATAAAAATTCTTCTGCAGGTCGATTGTCCACTGTATGTGGTGCACGTCATGAGCAAATCGGCGGGCATTGAGGTAGCACGCGCTCGTCAGCGCTATCGTGGGAAGTACATCTACGGCGAGACCTTGGCGGCGGCTCTCGGCACAGATGGCACCCACTATCGCTGCCAGCACTTTGGTCATGCGGCTGCTCATGTGCTGAGTCCGCCCCTGCGGCCCGACAAGACCACGCCCGAGTTTCTGATGAAGCTGCTAGCCAGGTGAGTTGTCAGAGCCAATACGTTTCTTAGCCAATAAATCATGCATTTAAAGTGACATTTAATCAAACATATTGACATATATCACATCCACATATCATGCAACAACTCAGATGATGACGCCAACAGAGTCAGCAAATCCTTTGTCATTGTCAAAGATGATTTGCCGTAGTGAGTATATATTTTCATATTTTATTCATATTGATAATATATATCGCTGTCATTTCATTGCAAGTATAAAATTGATTTTATAAAATAAATTAAAATGAATGAATTTGGTTTTACTTTCTCTATTTCGCAGCAATGATCTGCAGACGACGGGCAGCGACAATTGCACGTTTAACAAGAAGCAAAAGGAGCTGGGCCTGGGCGACTTTACCAAAATACCGAATGGCGTCAATGGCGTTGAGGATCGCATGTCTCTAGTCTGGGAGCGTGGCGTGCATTCCGGCCTAATGGATCCGTGCAAATTCGTTGCCATAACCAGCACAAATGCAGCCAAAATATTTAATATATATCCAAAAAAGGGACGAATCGGTAAGTATGTAGAGTTAAATATTTAATATAATATAAAATAATAAT